GTATTAGTTTTAACTTGCTGAATGATCTCTCATAGCTGGAGATAGAAACTGCGATGGTTAGCATTATGCAAAGATTGGGGAAGATGCTCTCATCTCCATACTGAACAATAAATTCGAGAAGCTCTTCAGGTCTTGATATTTTCATGTTGGCCTGACTTGACAGCAACATTCTGCAATCCAAAATTTCTTCATATAGCTGCTGTCCATCAATATCAGAGCTGTACAATTTGCCCCAAATTTTCGCACTTCTTCTTCTTTAGGTTGTTACTGTCGGCACCGTAACACAGTCCCTCGACATCAAGAAGGAACCCAAACTTGGTGTCAGTGTCGTGCAAACAAGCGAACCTTTCCTCCATTTCTCTGTGAAGACGGTCGAGTGTTCCCTTCATGATTCTTTCCATATCCTCCTTGGCTGTTAACCCAGTGTATCTCGAGTTCTTATCAGCCATTCGTTTCTTTCGTCTCTGACATCTTTCAACTTCAATATTCCATTCTTGACAGAGACCGAGTCCTTTTTCGAGTGACTCACTGACCAAAACTTCTCTTTCATCATCAAAATGATCTTGGAGGGCTTTCAAATCCAGGACAGCATCGTGGAAGTTCATGCTAGGATCCTGCAGCCTCTTTTGAATATGGTCAATGCGAATGAGTACCTTGTTCCAAAATCCTATCAAAGTCAGAAAATCGTAACTCAACATGAGGTTATACAGCTGCCTTGCATCGCTTCTTGTTTCACTGGTCTCATTTTCATTGTCTATCATGTCCTGGAGAACTTGAAGTATCTCTTCGCTACTTCTGTCTTTACACTACACCTAGTTTTGGACTGTAACTTAATAACCACAGGCACGGCATTTTTGAGTTTTTCCCAGCACTGTGTTGAACAACAGAAGAACACGTAGAGAGCTTCAATGATTCCAAAAATCATGACCATTATTGTATCCTGCTTGACTGCATGTACACCCATCAAGTTGAGTGAGTGATTATCGCAAATCACAAACACTGCCAGGTTGTTTTTCTCACTTATTCTTTGATGAACACCACTTCCGTGTCCAGCCATCACAGCAGCATTGTCATAGCGCTGTGACTGACAATCTTGTAGCTCCATTTCGTCCTTCTCTAGCTGTTTCAAGATGTCTTCATCCAAGCTCTCAGCATCCTTCTGTCTTATCTGGATAAAACCAAGGAAGGACTTTCTAACACAGACTGTTTTCCTCTCAAAATCAACTTCCACGTACCTCACTACTTCTGACATCTACTCACAGTGTGCCTGATCAGATAAGATGTGGATCCAGGATGAATTTCCACATGAGTGAGGTGTTCTTTCATAACAGGGTCAAAGATGGCCAGTAGTTTCAGTAAGCCAAGGAAATTTCCCAGATTGGAGTCATTGTCTAGCTGAAGTGACAGCAAGTGTCCTTGCAAAGCCAGGTTCTGAGTCACAAGGAATTTTATGCAGCGAAGGATTCTCATCAAGATATCACGCCACTTCTGCTTTTCCTTCTCAATCTGTGACTGAAGTTCCGCATCAATAACTCCTCTGTTTTCAGCTAAAATTTCTTTCCACTGTGTGAAGCACTCCCCAATGATTCTTAGCATTTTCATGAACACTAATTCTTTCATGTGCTTTCCACTG